GAGGGGCCTCGCTCCCACGGACAAGTTTTGCGAAGGGTGCCTGCGCACCCCGCGGGGAGCCGTGGTGAAACCCCTCCGCAGAGAGAGCTCATCGCTGAGAAGGGGCTGGGGAGCGCGGGCGGGTCTCCGCTCCGCCGAGAGCTCCTCCAGGAGCTCAGCCCCTGGAGATGCTCGTGTTTCGGGGGAAAGAGGGATGCTAATCCTTTGCTTTCCCGGGAGGATTTCTAGGATTTTCCACGTTGCAAACCTCTGGAATCGCTGCTCACCTGTGCTCTCCAGGGGGTTGTTACGGGAGAGGCTGCGATGAAGTGGAAGTCCCGAGTACAAACTTGCACAAGCCTGTCATTAAAACGGTATCAAAGCGCTTGCACAAGGCTGAGTGAAAGCCGTGCTCGTATCCTTAGTTCCCCACTTCTCCATTTTTTAGTGCTTGAATTTGCAATGTTAATAACGTTCTCACATTTTACTTTCCCCGCGTAAGTGTTTAGAAGCTGGACAGATCTATAGCGAGGTCTGTCTGCTGGGGACAGGGACGTGCATCCATTTGTTTGCCCTTGGCCGCAACTTTTCAAAGTTACCCAGAACTGGTGCAAAACTCAAAAGGGGAAAATAAGTAAGCGTGCACATACCAGCTGGCCCTTCCAGGTCATGCTCCATGCTTCCAAACCTGAAAGCCAGGCCTCATTTTGAGCAGTCTTATGCATGACCGAACCCTTTCCAGCAAGGAATTCAGTTGTCAGATGTGTGCGTTCCCTATTTTGCTGCTAATCGGGACTGAGAAGCGACACGGGGAAACAGGGAGCCTGGGCTCGCTCCCTGCGCTGCCCTAACGTGCGCTCTGCCGGTACAGCCCGCAGACTTTTGCTGCTGTCCACGTTGCTCCCTCATCTCACATCTTTCAAGCCATGCGTGTACCGAAATGGTCTGCGATGCAGGAGAGCTGGCAGGCTCGGGGAGCCCACGTGCGATATAGCTGGGGATGGAGCTCAGCCCAATGTCCTCCGGTGCTGGCCGAGCTGATCGGCCAGGCTTAGCTCACAGACCTCAAAAGAGGGGTGACAGGGGTACCTTCCCCACCCATACATCTGTCCTAGATGAAGTAGGGAGGCCTGTCCTTCCCCACACCCTGCATCCCCACGGCTCCTTTTCCCCAGCCGAGATCTCTCATACGGCTCTTCCGTAAAATCCCCATCACTGCAGGCGCTGCAGGCGCCGCGGTCTCTGGTCTCTGGCCCGAGTGGCACAGCCACCTCCAGGCAAGGGAACGGAAGGCTTTGTCCAACGTCACATAGCACCGCAGTGAGTCAGCTCCGTCCCCTGCGCCCCAGGCACATCTCTCCAGGTCTCCATGGGAAGCAGAGGGGACTGCCAGCGCTCAGAAAGTTGGAACAAGTACCTGAGCCCCTTCCAGGGAGCGGGACAGAGCAGAGCCTGCCTTCCTGGGTATGAAGGGCAAGTGCAGAAGTGGACTCATGAAATTCAACTTACCTGCTGTGTCTAGCCCTTGTTTTCTTCCATCTAAGAGGTTTTTTTCCATTTGGAACTTTAATCCTTCATTTTCACGCTTAAAGCTGTGCTCATCCCCTCTGTTTGAGCAGCAGTAACTGCCTTACGTCTACTTTCACTGGCTCTGTAACCGGCTACCCAATTTGTCACTTTTAGGATCACAGCATGCTTTTTACTGTACCTTGACCAGTAAAAACTGGATCAGCGATCAGGCCAAACTCCCCAAGGAATAAACGCTCAGGAGGCCCACGAACCCTGAGGAACGGCAGCACGGCTAGCGGGGAAGGGCTTCCATTTCATCTGCATGCCAGCTGATAGTGGTGTCACACGTGTGAGCTCACAGCGCAAGGAGACGCATGTTCACAGCCGAGAGCTGGGTGTGACATATTTTCATCACCATCATTTTGCGGGATGTGTTATGTGACAGCCCTGCTCAGCTAGAATTCATCTGGGATCCATGTGAGTATCACATGAGCTGTGGCTGCCCTGAATAGATCTTACAGAACTACTCATCCCTCACAGAAATTTTTTTGAAAAACACTATTTAGAAAAACAATTTTGCTAGTAAGATTCATGAGACGACAGATTTCCAAGGGCTGTTTTCTGTTTGCTGATAAATGCTGCAACGCTAATGCAAGTGTGAGCTGTTCCCATCGTAATCCTAATGCTGTACTCGTGTCTGGGCCACTGTGTTCCCAAAATTGTTCTTGCTGGTGATTAACAAAATGTGCAAGCCTTAGCCAGAACTTCCTCTTGATTTTAAGACTTTCCCTTCAGTTTTCTTCCGTGACCAACTTCCTACCATTTTAGCTCATAGTTGCATCCAGTAAGGACCAGTTGGTCAAGCCGTTAGTCAGGATAGCCCTAGATCCTGGAAGCTGGCATCACTTGTAACAGCTCAGATATAGCCGAGATTTTTTGTTGTCCTCATTCCTGACCCTGCAACTGCCCAGCACCTTACTGCTGCAACAATTTCAGGACATAGCTGCTCCAGCCACCTCTATTAAAGGAAGCCCTTGGTTAGCCATTAACAGTGCTGAGCCTGTGGCAGGCCTGCTCCTGCCCAGAAGAGTCCCTGACACCAGCCCGATAGATAATCGGGTCGTTACACCATACAAAAACCTGTCTTTACATTCCAGCTGCGCAGCATGGCCTCTCTCCCAGGGGACGGTGGTCCTGCCTTTGCAGGGAACAGATTTAATGATTAACAGACTGTCTTCGTCTCCAACAACTGTGGTTCTAATAACAATACCCTCCTTTTTGCAAGGGTCTCTAAGCACTTTATAAACATTAATTAATGAAGCTTCCCAGGGCACCTGGGGAACAGCTGAACATTAACACAGGGCAGGGAGAAGCTCAGGCACATCCTTCATCTGAGCAAGGCTCGCTGCAGCCATCCTACCTCACCTGCAGCGGCTGGTCCAGCATCATCTCACTCAGGACAGCACGACCTTAACAGCTTACAGCCCACAACAGCACTATAAAACCTGATCTGGGCTGGCTCAGAGCTTTAAGCAGAGCCCAATTCCCTTGCTCTTTTGTCTACAGTCACTGTGGTCTGGTGGCCCATCTGTTGGCAGCCTCTAATCTGTTGGGATGAGTGAGCTGGTGCTTTCTTACTCCTTCTACAAGGTGCTCTGCATGCTTTGAGTCCCGCTGCAAACACACAACAGCCGCTAAAATGGTTCTTTCGAGTAGGTTATCGACCCGCGGTCTCGGTCTCATAAGCATCTCTGAAATTTCATGCTGTGTCCTGGATTTTAAAATGGGTCAAAGCTCCCCCAAGCATCAAATAATTCTCTCAGATTTCATACTAAAACTAGAGAAAAACCACAGTTTTACTTGTTTTGGGATGAAAAACCATGTCTAGTCACTGAGAATGTTGTGGGTTTATGGCAGTTCAGAGCCATGCGCTCCCACCAGAGAGCATAAAAAAATGACAATGATTAAGGCTACAAACAGAAGTACAGATTATTTAACACAGCAGAATTTATTCTTAATTTCCAGCTAAACCCCAAGCCTTCAATACTTTGACATCGCAGGCCTCAAGGCTTTGAAAGCCCGAGCATGTGGTTGCTGGGAGAAGAGAGACTTTAAACAAGGTCCAGTTTCTCAGACGTTGGTTTCCTGTTGTTACACTCGTGCTACCAGCATCTGTCAGTGGGAAAGCCATGTATTGCTGTACTTCCCAAACAGGAATTGTTTTTCATAGTAATCCGACCTAACTTTTATTGGAGAACAATTTTTATGTGGCATCCAGGGTTTCTGGCCAAGCTGGTACTGTTCTCTGGTAGCAAGGAGGAGCTGGGCTGACACTGCTTTGAGTCCTGGCTCTGGCAAACGCTTCAACAGATGACCCAACTCCAGACACTGATTGAACCCTGTATTTGTAGAACACCTCCCAAGTGTCAGGACACGAGCAGTTCTGGTTAGAGCCACAGACCAGCCAGCACGGACAGGTACTGCCTATGGTTGTTGGCAGAGCTGGGCCAGCAAGGTCCATCCCCAAAGGCAGCACCTGGTGTGGGACATCTCCAGCCTCCTGTCGCAGGGTGGCTGGATCCCCATCCCAGAGCTCACTCGCCGGAGTGGATCTGCAACCATGGGGTCCTAAGAAGAAAAAGGCAGCTCACCTCTTACTGGGATCCCCAGTGTCACCTTCCTCTACAATTTATTTCAATAATATCACGCACTGTGGAATATAAAGCTGAAGATCAATCTCTTAACCATATTAAGACACTCCAGGGTGTATTTTATAGGGCCATTAATATACTTCTTGGGTGGTTAAAGTCACCCACAGCATAAATTAATGGCTCCATAAAACATACTGTCATATCCTATGACTTAAATAACACACAGCAGGCCGGGTCTATTGGGATGTTGTTGAGCTTACTGGGTGCGAGCACAAGGGCACAGAGTGACTGCCTGGCAGCGAGTACGCCCTCCCGGGTATGCCGGCCTCGGGGTGTCTTACGGATAGCGTGAAACCAACAGTCATTTTGAAAGACAAGATTCTAAAAAAAAAAAAAAAAAATCCAAC